TGACAGGTTGTGGGTGCTGTTGAAAGTGTTAGCAGCAGATGGCAGGCACATGTGGTCTAGCAACACTCTTTTAAACTATTGTGGTAAAACTTGTTCTGAAATCTGCTACTAAGCTTATTTGCTGCCTCACTGCTGTGGCCTGCCATCTTTTGCAAATTGCTCTCCCTCCTTGAAGGAAATTCAGATGTGGGGGTCAACAGGAGGCCAAAGCCCCACTGGGGAGAAGAAACTCTTCTAGATGTGTTCTCCAGTGCTCAGAGGGACCCCAGCAGTGACCCTCCCTACTCAGGCCGGCATGAGTCTAGGACCTGCCTCCGACCACAACTGCAGTCTCCGAAAATCAAGCGTGTGAGGGAGAATTGAAACTCTGGTTGTTGTTACTGTCTTGTTTTGAGAACACCTTACCATGTGTAAGAGTTAGCATGGGGGATTACACACCTGTAATTCCAAGCATTCAAGAGGTGTAGGCAGCAGGATCAGAAGCTCAAGGGCATCCTCATCAACGACTTCAAGAGTTCAAGGCCAGTCTGGGTGTCAGAGATTTCGCCTCAAAACACACAAACAGACAACAATAAGAGAGAAACACTGGCTATGATGGCAGTGTTTGCCTGTTGTCTCAGGAGAAAGCATGCTGAGGCAGGGGGATCTCAAGTATGAGGCCAATTTGGGCTATATAGGAAGACCCTGAGTGAAATACAATGACATGTGTTTATGAAAATGTCATGATGAGACACATTACTTTGTATGCTAAATAAATTAATGAAATTAATTATTCATTGAATGAAAAGAGAGACAAACAAATTAAGAATTAGTAATATTAATATCTAAAACAGGACCAGAGCTCTGCCTGCCAAGAATGAAAGGGCACAGGCTTATCTGTGACTCATACAGAACACACTTTCAAGCCTAACACTGAGAAAATAACAAATTAACCCTCTTTCATTTTTGTTCCAATGAAAAGGAGGCCTGCTTCCAAACACGGTGAGCAGCTAGGCTAACCTACTTGACTTGAATGTGAGTTTCCCAGATGAATATAAATACAAAAGCTGGAAAAATTTTAAAGTATAGACTGATGATGGCCTACATAAATTATTCATACATCAAATACATATGTTGATATGAGAGTTCAAAAAAATGTTTAACCAATAGGAATGCATGATCAGGAACATTTAAAGGGACCAGACCCTGTAATGTGGCCTCTACAGTGTTATCATCACTAGGTGCGGGGTGGGGGATGGAGGGTGGGTTTTTGGTCTTGGAGACTGAAAAAAGTTACCTGCTCAAAGATAGGAGAGAAATGAAGCAGTGGGCTCAGCCTGCATCCACGCCTTAGGGCCAGGTGCCTCTTTCCGGAACTCAGGCAATCCTGAAGATGAGCACTCCCGCTGACAATGACGCTCAGAACAGAAGAGAGCCTTCCTGCCCACAGAGACAGCCAGCACCCACTTCAGCTAAGCTCTGGCACCTGCAGGAAGGACACTCCCTCTTCACTACCACCTAGGGAGGAAAGGAGAGCTGTTGTGATAGGTCGCTGGCGGAGATGCACTGTTCCTGACAGAGCATTCAGAGTTAGTGGCCAAAGCCCCTGCTAGGCCATCAGCATGGCCACAGAGGCCAGAATGCTTGGCCGGATCCCAAGGCCACATGCTTGGAAGAATCTAAGGCTCCCTGGAGGAGGAGGCCTGGATAAGAAGGCACACATGAGCTTCTTGGCTGACCCTTCCTACATCAGAGGCCTAAGGAATGAGGGAGCTATTCCCCCTCTGTACACACGAAACAGTAGCCGGCAGGTCTGAGCTCAAATCCCAACTACACTGTGTGTGTGTGTGTGTGTGTGTGTGTGTGTGTGTGTGTGTGTGTGTGCATGTGCACAAACACTCTTGAGACTGGATATGTAGATGCATGGGTGTACATGAGCGTGCAGAGGCCAGAAACAAGCCTCAGATGCCAGCTCTCAGGGTTTTATTAGATAAGCCTTTCCCTGGCCTGGAGCTCATCCTGCAGGCTGGGCTGGCTGGCCAGTGGATCCCAGGCATCCTCTTGCCCTCCCCTCCCCAGCACTGGGATTACAGGCGTGCTCCACCATGCCCAGGTTTATTTTACACAGTTCTGGGGAACTCAAAGCCTCTTGCTTCCAGAGCAAGCAATTTACCAAGTGAACTGTTCCCTCAGCACCCAGATGTAACTCTTAAAACTTTTGGGACTTGAAATGGGTCACAGATTTCTCTCAGCCCATTTTCTCTGGCTTTTAAGCAGATGAATCCTTGCATGTTCACTGGCTATGACTGTATGATACTCTGAGCCCAGGTATACAATTAGGAAAGAAGCTAGGGCAATGCTTAGTAAATTGTAAGGATGAAGGTTTGGGGTGGCGAGCTTCTTGTGTTCCATAAACACTCCGAATCTGAGGGCTTCATAAAGGTGGCTAGAGTGGAGACTGGGCCTCCTATCCAAACCTGTCCCCTTCTCAAAGAGTTCCTGTAAACATGGCCCTTGGCTGCCAATGAGGGGCCAGCCTGGGACCTAGGAGTGGCAGACACAGGGCCCGCTGGCCAGCCTCTGCTGAGTGAACCTCTCAAAGCTCCCTCATCAATCCATCATCCTCTTAGCAGTTGACACCTCTGGCAGAGCCTCTCAGCAGCCCCAGTACTAGAATTACAAGAGGCCCAGTTACGAGGGGGAATGCAGATGGAGGAACCTCAGCTTCAAATCTATCTAAGTAGTGTGAACAGTCAGACCTGGGCAAGGCAGCTCCCTGCCCTTCTAACAGAGGGGAAGGGGCGGGGGGAGAGCTTGTTAGAAGTACAAATTGCTTCTTAATGCGGAGACTAAAACTGGGTTGTGGCACCTCCTTAGCAATTCCTCCGGGCTCGCAGGAAAGCCACCACTGCATGTCAATTTTAATTTTTGAAATTTAAACCGAGGGCTTTGTGTCTAAGCTCCATCTCATCAGAGGAAGGGGAGGAATAAGTCAAAAAGGATTAGGGGCCCGGTGGGGATTGCAGATCCATAGCAATTAGACTTCATTTGGGTTGCAGACACCGGGTTTTAATCGCATTTCAGGATGATACAATCAACAAGGCATCCGAAAGTGATACCTGTCCTGTAACTGTAGACTGTTCGTGGGTGCGGGTGGGCTCAGCCAGCTTTGAGATCCACCATCATGGGGCAGCATGGCATGGGGTAGGATATTGGGGCTCTGTGTAGGTGGGAAATGATAGCTTGATAGTATTTCTTTCCTCTACCTCTCTCCGTGCACTTTCTTCTTGGACTCAGTGCAGGCGTAATCATTGCTTATATTCAAATGAATGAGAGCACAGAGGAGTGGCGGCCACAGGGCTGGGGGAGGGGGCAAAATTGTCTTCTAAAAGAGAACAGCAGCTTCCAGCAACCTCTTATACAGCGCGATTTGAGGTAGACTGCAACCACGAACGTTTCCCACACTACATTGGCATGAATGTATGCAACATGAATTGAGTGAAAACAACAATTATATCCAGGGTACAGTTTTACCTTGATACACATTCCAGGTTGCCTCTGTGTAGACACACACACACACTCACAATCACACTTCTTTTCTTTAAACATTCATTTATTTAGTGTGTGTGTGTGTGTGTGTGTGTGTGTGTGTGTATTTGCCTGTGAGAGCCACAGTGAAGATGTGGAGGTCAGAGGACAACGTGTGAGAGTTGGTTCTCTCCCATCATTTGGGCCCTGGGATTTGAACTCAGGGCCCTAGGATTGGTGGCAAGTGCCTTAACTTGCTGAGCTATCTTCCAGCCTCACAAACACATTTCCATTCCATCAAAATGGGCTCAATACAGCCAGGCAATGTGATGGCAAATACCTATCATCCCAGTACTCAGAAAGCTGGGACAGGAGAATGGCCAATTCTCCATCAGCCTGAGCTACACAGTGAGAATCTGTCTCATTTTTTCTTTTTCAAGACAGGGTTTCTCTGTGTAGTCTTGGCTATCTCTGACTCACTTTGTAGACCAGGCTGGCCTCAAACTCATAGCAATCCACCTGCCTCTGTCCTCTGAGTTCTGGGATTAAAGGCCTGAGCCACCATGCTCAGCCTGTCTCAATTTGTTTTCACTTAAGTTAAAGCTGAAAGAATAAAGAGCTTAGTAAGTGATTATATCAGGTTACTACTCTATATTTTAAATATAACTTACTATCTGTTGGAACTGGGTGTCCTTAAAAATACAAATAAATAAATAAATAAATAAATAAATAAATAAATAAATAAATAAATGAAATAGAGAAAACAAGCAGAAAGGTAAAAAGAAAAACAAATGTCAATGTTTTGGAATGTTTTCCTGACTTAGGCATACAGAACACTGAAGGAAAGAGAGACAAAGTCCCCCACTACTTTATCAGTTCTCTCAAGAAAGGAAGCGACCCCCCCCAAAAAAAAATCTACCCTTCCTGGAGGGGTGGTGGCATCTTCCTTTCCAGTGTTCCAGTTGAACTTAGGTGAAAGAGCCACAGAACTGCCTCAGTTTACCAGCTCCTTAGAGAGCCAAAGACCTAGCAGGGTTGCCCTGAGTGTGCTGTTGGTCGTTTTTGGAAATGAAAAGCTACCAAATGGGGAAGCCTCTTTCTGACCTTCTCATTCAAGGCCCCAAAGCTTACAGAGTCCCCACTGGCAAGCAAGTATCTCATAATTGTCTTCTACTTCTCAGGGACCCAGTCTTCCGACCCCCTTTCCCAGGTCCAGCGGGAGAAGCTGCCCAAACTGTATACCATCACCTCTCTCCTACCTTCTTCTAACTCCCCTCTCCTGCCTTCCAAGGGTCAACTCAGGGCTTCAGTGCCAAGGAGGATGCTGCTCTGACACTCCCACACACACACATACACACATATACACACTAATCCCAGGGGGCAGGGGTAGTGCTTTGGCTGGAGAGAGGAAACCGGCTAGGCTGTAAGGCCAAGGCGGGTGTCTGGGGTCCAGGCAAAGGGTCCAAATTAACAAAAAGAACAGGAGCCGATGGTCTAAAAACATAATTTAATGCATGGAGGGGGAGAGTGTGGAGATTGTGCGTGGCAAGGTGAATTTTCTGTCTGTTGGAATTCTGCTGGGGGTGGGTTTTCGGCTGATGGACAGGAAAAACTGCACAGGCATTTTGGGTCACAAAAAGGGAGGTCCCAGAGCATGGCGTTCACCTGGGTCTTATCTTCCTGGTGGGGCCTGCTGCTCTTCACCTGGAACCCTAGGAAGAAGAGGCTAGCTGGGAGACCTCGGGCTCCCTGGGGCGGCCTGTCCAGCAGCCTGTCTGGGCTTTCCCACAACTATACCCTCCAGAGCTGAGGTTCTCGCCCAACTCCCCACTTGGGTGCTCCCTCTCCCTCCCCAGGATGGGCACCGGGACCAGGGACACAGCCTCCCCGGAGCGTGGTGAATCACAGACACACTGAGGCCCGAGGCAGGACAAGTAGGACAGCAGGGATGTGTCTTTTTCCAACGGAGATGCCAGGAAGTGTCATGAAGCCGCAGAGTGGCATTCACCCGAAGAGCCGCGCGCCCCTGTGGGGAGGGCGCGGCCCGAGCGCCCCTCTGCGCCTCTAATCCGGGTACAGGAGGAAGCCCGAGAACGTGCTGTACTTGTTGTTGTTGCCGCCGTGAGCCTTCCCGCCGTCCAACTTCACGTAGACTTCGTCGCCCGAGTCCAGGTGCAGCACCACGCTGTTGCTGGCGTAGTCATAGTTCTGGTCCGCGTCCTGGGCGATGGCGCTGGCTCGCACCTGCCGGGCGAACCAGAGGGGTGGGTGGGCCCCCGCGCCTCTTCCTGAGTCCAAACTTGCTCCCCCGCCCCCCCCCCCCATCCAAATGCCCTCGCTGGCCCTCGGCCTGCCACTTCAGTGTCCATGCTCCGCCCCAGCAGAGTCAAGGGAAAGGGGGAGGGCTTCGGGGACACCGGCCCAGTGTGTAAGGAAGATCCCAGGGGTCAAGGCCAAGATGAAGGAGGCTGGAGGGAAAGGAGTAACCTATGAGCAACTGGGCTTTTTCTAGGAGCACAGCCAGCTCAGGCCAGGACTTACAGCAGTTGGGAACGGAGAACCTAGTTTAGGCGTTAGGGTCACAGTTCACCCAGGGTCCCGTACCAGGCGTGTGGCAAGCACAGCGGGAGTGTGCAGGAAGCGGGAGACCGTGGCCCAGCGCCCACCCCATCGCGGGAGTTTGCTGGGGCGCGGAAAGGTGGCAAGGAAAAGGGGTAGCTCCCGGCGATTCCGGGCGCCTGTGCGGTCTGCGGAGTCTGTTGGGCCCCCGAAAGGGAGGGAGGGGCGTGAGGGAGAAAGTCACTGACCTGCCCGTTCTTGCAGAGGTCCGCCCACATGCTGGTGCCGTCGCCTCCGCGCATGAGGATGTGGTAGGTGAAGAAGTAGATGCCTCGCACCTGGCAGCTGAACTTGCCGGTGGTGGGGTCGTAGTGATTGCCAAGATTGGTGACCACGTCGTCGAACTTGAGCACCTCGTAGCCTTCGTGGGGGCTCTTGAGCCCCACGTAGAAGGCGATCTTGGGACCGCTGAAGGCGGCGCTCAGCGCACTGGTCACTTCTCCCTCCGTGTCGCCGCCGCCCCCGGCTCCGCCGCCCACCACTCCAACGCCACCGGCCGCGCTGGTCGTCAGCTGCAGTCCGGGCAGCCCTGGCCTCCCCGAGTCGCCCTTCTCCCCCGGGGGACCTCTGGGCCCAGGCGGCCCTGGCTCTCCAGGGGGGCCCCGAGGCCCCGGCTTGCCTGGCCGCCCCGGATCACCCTTTGGTCCCTGGATAAACGGGGGCGGGGGGTTGGCGCTGAGGTCCTGCATAACTTCCAGGGCGGCGGTGCTGGGTCCCGGCGGTGGAGCCTTGGCGCCCGCGGGTCCCCCTGCGGGAGCGACGCTGTACGGGTCACAGATCATGCGGCAGGTGCCCAGCATCTCGTAGTGAGCCGCGCCGGGGGGCGCCGCCTGCAGCAGCAGAGGCACCGCGATCAGCAGCCCCAGTGCCATGGCCAGGAGCACGCCGACGGCCGCCAAGCAGGCGCGCCGCCGCCGCTGCCACAGCCGGGAGGCGACCGCCACCAGCTCCTCCTTGCCGCCGGGAGAGGTAATGGTGGAGCGGCGCGGGTGGCCCCGCTCTGAGCGCTCGGACGCCAACTCCGCGGGTCCCCGCCGAGTCCCCGACGTGGAGACCCCTGTCTCGGCCACCCAACTATTTCAAGGAGAGGTATCCGGTCCCGGACTTCCGAGGCCACCGCGCTGGAACTGATCTGGAGAGTCCAAGAGCCCGACACGCATGGCTAGGGGCGCCCAGGACGAGCCCGGCGCCCCGGCGGGTTCCGGGTGGCGGCTGTTGGGGAATGGTGTGTCCGGGAGAGGCGTCCGGTGTCGGCTCAGCCGCGCTGGCTCCTGCTCTGCTGGGGTTGGCGGGGCTTGGCGGGGTTCGGCGGGACGAGGGATCCGCTCTGCCGCACGCTCCGCTCTGCTCGCCCGCTGCTCGCTGGCTCCCGGGCGGAGGGGGGACCCAGCTACCCTGACGTAAGGATCTCAGGACTGAGCGGCGGAGGCGGCGAGGCAGCAGCGTGAGCTGCCATCACTCGGGAGACGGCGCCCTCCTGTCATCAGCTCCCATCCCGCGGCGTCCTCTGGAGATGAGCCTGCTGGCGGCGCCCAGGAGCCACAAGTGGGAGCAGAGGGCCGCAGCCCCCAGCTGGGGCTCCACAGACACACCCACCCTCGCCCACAGGCGCCCCCACAGACCACCATGCACTGGCACCCAAGCGCACAGGATATGGGTGCACACAGCACCCCGCACACATGGCCACGATGATGTCCAAAATCGTGATGCCTGCAAGGTCCTGGTGGGATTACTAAAGCCATCCACTCTCTCTCTATCTAACTGGGCCCAGATCTCAACTCAAGCCCAGGACAGCCTCAGCCTCCAGCTCTGTGGGAAGGACCTCTGGAAGCCTCGGGGAATGACTAAAATAAAATCAGTCTGGCTCCTGGGCCATCTTTCATAAATCTAGGACTCTAAACTGTGAAACAGGGTACTGCAGCAAACCTCCATCAACTTTTAAAAGAACTCTTTAAAAACAAATGGCATTATGTATTTACTGGACAAACTCATGAGATTAGGTTCTTTAGGTCCACTATGTGGGTTGGTCCAGGGATCAAACTCTGGCCTTCAGGCATGACGTCAGACCGCCATTACCTGCTGAGCCATCTCGCCTATCAAGAAAGGCTGTAAAACATCCACCCATCTCCACCCCAGGTGCAGAATCTATTAGCTTCGGACACTTTCCCCAAGGGTCATTGGCCATTCCTTGTCCCCCGCATAAAATCTATTCGGAAACAGAAGCACTCACACCTGTCTGTTGCAATCATTTCTTTTCCAACTTTCTTTTTTCATTTCTTTTCTTTTTTTTTTAAATTGCTGTTTCATTGGGTGAAGGGAATTCACACACTACAGAAAGTAACCAGCTTCCAAGTAAAGAATAGGGAGGCAAGGGGCACACCTTGATTCTGCTTAGGAGGGAAGAAGATATGGCTGATTTGTCTTATATGTCTAGTTAGCCCTGGAAGGTGAAATTCAAACATGTTTAGTAAATGATGATGAACAGCTTCCAAAAATAAAAACAGGAATGCTGGGTGGTGGTGGCCCACACCTTTAAGTCCAGCATTTGGGAGGTAGAACCAGGCAGAGGCCAGCCTGGGCTACAGAGTAAGTTCCAAGACAGCCAGGGCTACACAGAGAAACCCTGTCTCAAAAAATAATTGCCTAATTAATAGAGAAACTAGGTGGGGATAGAGAACAAAATAATAGTTAAAGTAGGTTTTTGGGGAGATAGGATGCCAAAAGTGGTGTTAACCTGCTTTCTAAAATGCAGGTTCCTCCTCTTCCTCCTCCTCTTCCTCTGCAGTGTCCTCACCCCCCTCCTCCTCCTGTTGTTACTCACTTTCTTCTTTAAACTTAGTTTCTTTTGTTAAACATCATACAAAGTATTAGGTGTCACTGTGGCATTTGTAATCAATGTGTGTTTCAGTAGAGGCCCCTCCCTTGCCTTCATCATGAACACCTGCACACCGAGGGTACAGAGAGCCCCACTCCAGGCAGGTTTGGGGGTTCATCTACTGGAACACCCCAGCTCCCTCTCTCTCCATCCACACGCCTTTGCACTCCTCCTCTAAGCCTTAGTCTTTAACCAGCTGGGGCACACATTAAAGGAGAACTGGCTATTTCCCCCTACTGCAGCAAGACAGATAAAAGCACAAAAGGACCCCCTCCTGTGTGCTGGCAAGACCTCTGTATCAGAGGGGAAGAGGTCCTGGTCTGGGTATGTCTGAAGCCCTCGTTCCATCCATCCCTAGCACGGATGGAAACCATGCCTCTGGACTCTGGCTTTCCAAATGCCACTTTCTGGGGCCAGAGCTCTAAACTGAGTGACTGTTTGTCAAACACCTTGCTTTTTGAGGTTCAATGAACCCATTTTGTCACTGTGGTCACTTCTGTTCCCTACCTCTGGCCACTGCAGCTTGTCCCATCATAGCATAGGTCTCCAAAATAAGTCTGAACCAGCCTTATCTGGGACAGAGACCCCTAGACACCTTAGTTGCTTTGTGAGTGCTTTTTCCTTCATTTGCAGACACTGTCCTGTGCATTCAAGTTCATTCTCCTGTAATACAGATGGGAAAACAAAGGCTTTGAAGGCAAGAGGAGCTCATCCAGGGTCCACCCCTGGCTCTCTGAATTTTCAAATCATTCCCCTTCTCTGCCCAGAGAGACCTTAGAATGAGTAATTGTAGGAAGCACAGTTCTGGGTTCCAGCGCTGTTCCTGCAACTCATGTGACCTTGAGCAAAGCTCCTCGATTCTCTGAGTCTGTCTCCATGTGCACAGAGAGGGAGTGAGGCGAGTACCTACCTCAGTGCTCCTGGGAGGACTAAATGAGCACATTCTTAAGAAGGCGAGTGGACAGTCAGTCAATATCATCACTGGAGCTCTCCCCTCTCTCTGCTGTTATGGGTGTGGCAACTGGCAGGGTACTTGTGGGCACCAAGCCGGGTGGTGTAGATGGGTTTATAGTTAATGAAAAAGATTCAGTCATAATAATCACATCCTCACCTCCACCAAAGCAGAGAATGTGGGCTGTGCTGTCCTGCCCACTCCTTGCTCCCTGTGACAGACTGTACACAAAATAGCTTTTCCAGGGCTCAGCTTTGCTGGGTCGCCCTTTGGTTTGCAGGAGATGCAGGCTTCTTCCACTAGGTGGCGAGCTGAACAGTGGCACAGCTATCAGGCAATGTGGCATGCCATCCTCACCAGCCCTCTCTTTGCAGAGCCTGACAGTGTGGTACAGTGGTGTCTGGCCACCTTGTCACCAGTGATTCTGACTCTCCTAGGGAGTCTGTGTCATCCTCAGTGACTGTCTTCTCAAGAATATTAATTATAAGCTTCATTAAAATATTTAGCCACATTTTTAAATTGCAAGGCCTAGTTTGGACTCAGATCTAGAACCTGAGACTGTAACTCAGTGGTATCAAGTAGGAAGAAAAAAAATAGCCTGGGTCTCATACCCAGCACCACACTAACCCAGCATGCAATTCCAGAGTGTAGTGTGGAGGCAGGAGGTAAGGCAGAAACTGAGATCCACATACAAGTGTCTCAGGAATGCAGATGATGTTGTAGGGAGAAGAGAGGAAGGAAGAAAGGAAAAAGAAGAAGAAAGGAATAGAAAAATGGAGAAAGGAGAGGGAAAAGGAAAGAAGAGAAGAGGAAGATGGAAAGAATAAAGGAGGAGAGAAAAGAAAAGAAGGAAGCAGGGAGACACAGAGGGAGGAAGAATAGAAGGATGGAGGGAGGAAGGGAAAAAGAGTCCCTGCTTTTGGGAAATATGGAGACTTTGAAAGGTGGGGCTAGGTGAAGTGATGGGTCTTTGAGGGTGTTCCATTGAAGGGAATTGGGGAACCTGAGTCTCTCTCCTTTGAACTCAGGTGTGGGTGAGTAGGTTGCTGCTATTACTCCAGACTACCTGGTGAGGTCCAGGCCAGTGAGATAGTCTGTCTTACAAAACAAGGTAATAGTTCCTGAAGAATGATACCCAAGGATAGATAGTTCCGGCTCTACACACACACACACACACACACACACACACACACACACACACACGCTCGCCCATGTTAGAAAGCATTGGAAATATCCTGAGTGCATCAAGGCAGTGACAGGGGCAACCTGCATTTTGTGAGTCATTTCCTGATGTGAGGTGGTTGACTAGTGGGAGGAACAAAAGTAAAGAGACAATCTCATAACCTGGTAAGAGGCAGTGGGGCTCTGAGTGAGACTGCGGAGGAGAGATGGGTGTTGGGTTGTATTTGAGCACAGAAGCCTGGGCCTTACTGACAGAATCTAGACAGAAGCCAAGGAAGGAGGTGGAAGAAGCTGAGCTGAGGTTAACTCTTGCCTGGATGAATAAACACAAGAAGGGACTCTTCTGAAGAAGAAGCAGCTTTGAGAGCCATATGCAAGGCCCTCGATCACCGTGAACCTCCCAAAGGAGACACCACACCTGCCATGGACAGGAGTCAGGAGTCAGACGTGATAAGGTCATACAGAGGCACACATCAGTGTCTTCAGAGTGCAGGAATGTTTAGCCTTGGGGGTGGAGAGTAGAGAGGAGAGGAGCAGGAGAAAAGAAAGGAGGAAAGGGAGAGGAGAGGAAAGCTTGGCTTGAGACGAACAAACCCCTTACCGCAGCCAACTAGAAGACAGGCAGGGGAGGGGAGGAATGTCTGCAGAGGAACCTGAAATGCAGCTGGAGGAAGGGACAGGAGAGGGGAGGGGAGGAAATAAAGGAGGAAATGGAAGAAGTATTTGTAGAAAAAAAAAAAAAAGGAAAGAGAGGAAAGGGGAGGAAGGAAAATGAAAGGGAGAGAAAAGAAAGAAAGGAAGGAGTAAGGAAGGAGAGCAGAATGAGAAGAAGGAAAGAGGGAAAAGGGAGGAAGTGAAAGAGAGAAGAAAAAGGAGAAGAGAGGGAAAAGAAAAAAAAGGCAAAGAGGGGAAAAGTGGAGAAAAGAGGAAGGAAAGAGGGAAGGAATGAAGAAGGAAGGGGCAAGGATGAGTAGATGAAAGCCAGGACTGGTCATAAAATTGTCCAGAGTCAGAGCAAGAGGGTGACAAAGGGGCTCCACTGGGTGTAGGGAAGACAGCTGTGCCTTAGCGCTTAAGGTTTTGTCTTTTGTTCTCTCTCTCTCTCTCTCTCTCTCTCTCTCTCTGTGTGTGTGTGTGTGTGTGTGTGTGTGTGTGTGTGTGTGTGTGTGTGTGTCTAAGAAAAAGAGGTGCTTTTGTGCACATCTGTATGAGCTGGGGAGACGGCTCAGTCTAGGTGCTGCTGCACAAGCATGTGGCCTGTGTTCAATCCCCAGGAGCTATGCAAACATGCCCAGTGTGGTGGGCTGTGCTGCTAATCCTGGCTTTAGGGAAATGAGGATGAGAGGGTTCCTTGGGGCTCAGTGGCCAACCAGCCTAGCTCCAGCCCAATGAGAGACCCTGCCTCAGAGAAAGCAAATGGAGCTCCTGAGGGTGAGAACTGTCCTCTGGCTGCCACGGGCACCCCCTACACCCCTAC